AACCTCCGACAGTGCAACCAACTGGAATCATTTTTTCTATGATTTGAGTTGCAGTTTTAACAAGAACAAAAGTTGAGTTACTTTGTACTGCCCTTTTTTATGAACTCTCCGTCCTCTGCCTTTTGGTACGTCGTCCCTGTTTTTTTTTGTTTTTCCGTAAAAGAAATTCATGTTGATAAAAAAACATTACGTTCCCAAGGACTCGAACCCCGACCGCTTGGAACGACTCCACACAGACTAGGCACTCCAGCTAGCATTAAGCTGTTTGAGAAAAAGAAGAAATATGCCATGTTATTTAGGCCCATCCTGCCCAAGATAAAAGGCAACGAAGGCAGCCCCAGCTTCTTGTTTAAAGGAATGATTCACTTCATATTAAATAGTACCAAATCATTTTTTTACATAATATTCCACCAATTTATATATGTGTGTGATCTGAAATCAGCAAGGCACTCCAAGAATCAAGGAAGGAAATTAAGGAAGGAGAGAAAACTGAAAGAATGGAAAAGGTGCGGACATGATAGAACATGATGGAAAGAACGGAAAAGGCGCACACTACGGATGAAAAAGAAAGGACGAGATTGGATGAGAAAATGAGGAAAAAAATAAGCATACTCCCCTAAAAAAAAGCGCTAGATCACCCATGCGTGAGCCATGGCCGCTGATGATCCGCTGAGAAACCCACATCTCTTCAATTTACTGATTTTCGCATGACGCAGGCCCTGGCTTCACCTTTTTGCATGCTTTCGTGCATGTAGATGCCATTTTGCAAGCTTAGAATATTTGATGCTTGCCTGCATATATGTGCAACGGAGATGATGTGAGGTAATATTTCTTCCATCAGGTTTTTGTATGAAAATAGTAGCAGAGGATTCTTCTCTACTGGAGTATAAGCCAATTATTTTTTGCCTAATAAGAGAAGAAATTAATTAACTATATATTTAAAAATTCATCAAATCCGGAAATTTCTGTACTATAGGGAAAAAAAGCAGTATGTAATGTACACTCAGGAGTATATGTATATGCTGACATACATGTACATGTGTTGTAGTAGAAAGTATATATGAATCGCCATTTAATGTTGACAAAAATATATAGGCCTCCCATGATTATCATTAATAAAAAGGGGTAGAAATCCAATCCAACTATCCCACAAACACTAATGAAAAAAATTATTATAGATAACAGACAACAGAAGGAAAAATCAACAATCTCTCTTCAGGCTGTGTGTCGTAGATATAAAATAGTACATACTATATTGCAGTCTCCATCATAAAATGAAAAGGCTCCTCCGGTCTTACACATCGATCACTTTTTCTTTAACAAGAAACGTGCAGAGCCCCCATTGCCATTTTATTGCTTTTGGTACAGTATTTGTAAGATAAAGATACATATAAAAAAAACTCAAATAGACCACTTCGATTGAATGTGAATGTTCATCCACACTAAGAAACTCAAAACACTAATAGTTGCCATGAGGGGTATGCTCTATACTTTATCATGTTCCTAGTTCTATTTTGTTATATGTTGAGGCAGGTAAAGAAATATTTTATAAGATTAGCATTTTCTGCTTCGACAAATTTGGATCTTCTGAAGAAATTTAGTTTTAACCAAATTTTGCATTACATGTGGATGTTTTTGCACATAAAAATCAAACCAAACTTGAATATAAATTGATAATTTTTGTGGCATTTGTGCTAGTATAGTTATAAACCAAATTAGTGCAATTCATACCATCGCCGTTGGAATCACGTTCGCGGGGGCAACGGAAGCTGGGGGAGCGGCGAGGCCGGTGCGATAGGGGGAGGACTAGCTCGATTTGGGTGTAGCCATAGGACGCAGCCACCATGCCAATTTGGAGAGGGAGGGGAAAAGATGTCCCACCGATCGTTTGGGACCCATGAGGTGAAAAAAATTTGGAGGTTGAAATGTGATGAATCTGACTTTACACGCACCCAAGTCGGTCTCCATATTTTTTTGACAATCGGCTGGATCGTGAAAACTAAATAACTGCCGTCACAAACCAAATAGATGTACGCTAGCAGCGTCGTCCTGATAAATCCAAAACCTGGGAGCCTCCAAACTAAGGCATGCCTTGCTGCTCTCTGTTGTAGCATAGCCAGGCTCGCAGAACCAAAATGGACCAGATCGAACCAGCGGCATCCCAATCATTCTGTTTGGATCGCGCTTCACATCTCAGCATTGATCCTTGCACGTTGCATCAGGTTCCACGGGTGTTTTATTTTCTACAAATCCAAGCAATCGACGCGGTACTCCGAGGGAGCTGAGTTGCACGGGAGGACACGGATCCATCGAACAAGGAATGTACAGTGCTATTAATTCGTAATAACAAGGGAGGAAAATAAGCTGGTGTGGAACAATTCGGCACAATTTCTTAACAACATTAAGCTCAAATTCAGAACAAGTCATCATCAGACACAGTAGGAAGAACCAGTAGGAAGCACGGCTCACTGGACCATGGCATCAGAGCTCCCGGCCGCGAGAATGTCGAGGAGCGAGTTCTGGGGCTCCATCTCCTCATGCCACAGTGGCAGCTTGTCGCCAGGATGGAAGCTCCTCTTCACGCCCTCCTCATTTATCTGATCAGCGCTCTCAAATCAGTACGGCCAAGCAAAACAGACAAGATTTTTCAACAAAAAAAAAGACAGGGCATAAGAAACATCTAGAAACTTTATGTTGTAGAAATAAAGTCCATTCAAATGAGCAAGTTCAAGTTTCTATGATGTTGTGTGTTTCTGAACCAAAAGAAACCAAGCATGGAATTTGTACGAAAAGAACACTTACAGTAACGGTGCGAACAACCCCTCCACTAGCACCATCACGTGCAATGGCAAGGGAAACCACCTTCACCACAAATTTCTGCTCAGATAAGGATAAGAAGACCATGTTAGGAGATACGCTGCAGAAAAGATCACCAAATACTCTCTAGTTCCTCGGAAGAAACCAAATGACGTACCTCAGCTTCTTCCTGGGTCATCCCCTCTTTCCATTCATGATCCATCAATCCATACAGATAGCTGGAACCAGATCCTGAAAAAGGTCAGGGATAACATAGAAGTATGAGAACATGCACCTGGTATAGCGTACAATAAAGCTGGACTAGCAAAATTGTGTGCTCAGTGTTTCTCAGCACTCAGCAGAGCCAGGTTGCAGTCAACCAGGATAAGTGTGATTAACAGAGTGCACAAGGTTTGTTGCAAACGAGTACTCTACTCAAGGGTGTCAAGTCAAGTATAGGCAAGGAATGATGCACTTCTACAGTTCTATTGTTGAACCTTACCTCCAATTGCGAATGGTTGCCTCAGAATCGTTCCACCAAGAGGGACCGAGTAAATTTGGCCTCCTTCGTACTTATCCCATCCACCAACTATCATACCAGCTTGCAACATGCTCTGGACAGTGATAACAAACATCAGAAAGGACATGCTGTGTATCAAAGAAGGTGCGCATTCTTGTGATGGCTACAAAAGACATACCTTGTTCTGATAGGCCAGCAACCTAACCAAGTTGGATGCGACTTTCACGGTAGCTGGTTGCCCAAGCTGAATTCTGTACAAGGAGGACAGATTTAACATCAGCTAACTTGCAAATCAAACACTCAACTGACTGCAATCATATTGACAATTGAAATTCAAGTTCTATTTAATTTATACACTGCCATCCTACTCTGATTTAGAAGCAAAAAAACTGTGTTTTGCACAGAGTACTTACGTGTGCTGGTGGAGAAAATAGCGCACATAATCTGAAATAACTTGTGTATCAGCGGCCTGCAAGATAATGAGAGGCATGCTACATGTGAGACATAGATCTTATGAACAGAAAATGGGATATGTGACTACCAAAAATTAAAGCAGCCGATGAAAACTTATGACAGTGTTATAACTGAAGAGTTCAACTCTCCCAGAAGACAAGCAATGATAAGGCAACTACAAAATGGCACGGAAAAGCTAAATACAAAATCTTGGCTTGTTAGCTTTTATTTGCTTTGTTTATTGTCAACACCAGCAATTAAACATACCCTACTCACTTGTCGGTTGCTCAAACAACTTAATGTCACAATAACACGTGATAACAACATGAGAATGTGACCAATCTTGAACATAAATAGGAACACTTACAGATCCAGAACGGCAGACATAGACATTATCAGTGAGCTGACTAATCTTGTCCGAAGCACGGTTTGCCACATACATTCCTGCGGATTAAGACCAGGGAACAACACATATTTCGTTAAGGAAATAAATCCAGAGAGCAGAACTGATCAATGCTAGCTTTCATTCAATTCAAGCGTAAGCATTAAGACTTTGCACCAGTAAGGGAGGCATGCTGTCCAGTAGCTCAACAAGAACATGCTCAGCAATTCACAGTGATACAAGGTTCCGAATGGAGAAAACGCGGCACAGAACCCCTCAAACAAAAGGAGGCACGCACATACTCTAGTTCTCACGGCCCCAATTAACAACTATCCTTAGAGCAACTATCCTAGTTTGTTTGCATCTAATTCTATGGCAGCAAAGCCAGGCTTGTCCATGGAATTTGGTATTCCACATTATATGCAATAGCACTAGGAGTTGGAGGTCTCATTTGCTGAACTAGGCATGGGGTGGAACTCCTAAACCTAAGAGGCACATCTTCCCTCCAATATTACATTAATCACGATTTCCCTGATCTCGCAACTAGATTATACCAGGGGAAAAAATACTGAATTAGGAGAGGCGTCACACAAAACATCGTCAGGCATGCTGTCTAGTAGCTCAGTAAGAACATACTAAGCAGTTGATTTTGTTTGCGTCTAATTCTCACTGCTCCAATGATAACTAGTATTCTTTTTTTTTACAGGTAAACAGTGAGAGAGTGTTTGTCCTTGACTCTAATTCTGGTAAACCCCAGATTCGTCTGCATCTAATTCTATGGCAAGAAAACAAGGTTTGTCCATGAAATTTGGAATTTCGCATATATGTAACATAACAGTACTTGGAGCTCTGACTTGCTGAACCACACATGGTGATACCCCCAAACCTAAAGCTGAAGGGCGCATCTTCTCCCTAGTTAAAGCTGAAGGACTGCAAACAAACAGAGACGATTTCCCCTGATCTCGCAGCCAGATAATACCAGGGGGGGAAAATACTGAATCAGGAGAGGCGTCACACAAAACATGGCGACAGCAGCAGCTGCATCCCTCGGTTTTCTCCCCGCGATCTACTAGCCAAATCGGAGGCGCGACGCGCCGTCTCCGGCACAAACCTAACCGCTGCTGCGTCCACGGGAGAACCAGAGCGCATCAGGAGGTCGGGGGAGGGGGGAGGGGGCGTACCGGTGCTGGTCCTGGAGTCGGCGGCGAGGACGACCCCGCCGGCGTAGCATACCCCGACGATGGTGGTGCCCATCCGGTGCTCGCCGTCGGTGGGGGCGTCGGCGGAGGAGGGCCCGCCCATGAGCGAGGAGGCGGCGTCCATGGCGGCGGAGAGCGGCGGGCGAGCGGGCGAGATTTGGAGCGGCGACGGTGGGCTGTGCGTGCGTGCTGTCTGCGGCTTTGGCCTCAAGAAAGAAAGGAAGAGGAAGCGAGACGCGTCGGGGGTTCGGGGCCGAGGTGTCTGTCTGGGTCGGAGTCGGGTCGGACCCGAGCGTCCGTCCGGGTTCGGCTCAGCGGGCAGGCGGTCCAGTCCGGCTAGAACCAAACAAACCTCTCCGCGGTGTGCTGTGGCTGGACCGAATCAATGAAGTGAAAATATGCAAGACCGGTGTCATGGATATCATCGAATATGCCATTTTTTAAAAATAAAAAAATCCATTTTATTAACTTGTAATGAAGCATCAAGAGGATGCAGAAGACCATGAGTATATACCCGGCCTCTGCAGACACCTACTGCCCCATCATCAACGCCGCTATCCGGCGTCTGCCGCCACAACTCCAACTTCACAACAACACATAACCTTAGACAAACCAATGGGCACGTCAAAAAAGAGTTGACTACCTTGGCCTATATCGTGACCCCCAACATCGCTCATCGTTGCTGTTGTTGTTGTTGCCTCAGAAGTCTTACAACACTTTCCCCGCAAAAAAAAGTCTTACAACACCACCGACATGACAACCCCGTCACCCCAGACATCCACTGCTCCCTCCAACCGGTGTCCATTCCAAGGACAATACCCCGGCCCAAGGAGGAGCATTACACCGGAACCGGAATGCCACCATCTTCCGATCCTGAGGGAAAAGTATTGTTCATCAAGTATTTCCTTCTCTGGGTTGCGCGTATAGATATAAAGTTAGATACATACAAGTACTTACTACTCCCTCTGTTGCAAAATAGATATAAAGTTAGTAAAAAGTTGAATCATCTATTTTGGAACGGATGAAGTGGCTACCAATAAAAAAGTATGGTGATTCTCTATCTGTGTGTGTGGGATCGTCATTTCCAACCATCGTTCAGGAGAAACAGAGGAATAAATGAGGAAGAGAAATGATAGAAAATCCCTTTGCTGTTCGTTTACCCCTTGTTCGAAAGAAGGAAGGAAAAAAAAAGGTAAGTACTATGTACTGCTAAGGGATGACTAGATCCATACAAGTACCATCTCACGGTCGGAAGTCCCCTTCATCCTCCACCACCACGCCACCAGCACCATTCTACGTATGTGCATGGCTGTCCTGTATGTAGTGGTACAAGACCGACTAAACCGAGCACTACATTGTGCAGCAAGTCGGAATTTAGTGACATCCTAATTTAGGGGGTGTTTGGTTATAGGGACTTAAAAAGGTCCCTTTAAGTCCCATCTAAATCAAACAGGAGAGACTTATAAGGACTTAAAGTGGGCATTTGAGACTTATGAAATAAGACTTTCAAGGAGAGTCTTATAGGGACTTATAGTTGTAATATGGTCTATAAGTCCATGTTAAGTCCCAAGAATCAAACAGGTAGGGACTTTTTAGGGACTTGAGACTTATAAGTTGGGACTAAAAAAAGTCCTAAGACTTATGAACCAAACATGCCCTTAGTATCGACTCATCATAACTAATAAAATGCACTACATTGCCTTAAACGTGAAGTGGCCGATACCGTACTTACCAGTGTGTGAATAAATGGCTAACCTCAATATCAGTAGAATGATCCAATAGTCTCATTTATTCCGTACTTATTCCATGATATGATGATCCCGACACCCAAACTAGCCGAGTAGACTACCAGGCATCGATATATAAACAAAAAGAACCCAAATATGAATGCAAAACTTTGGTCCTAACACGAACTAGGACCTGCATAGAGAAACAAAATAGATGGTGATTGCATCGCAGGTTTTGTGATTTTCATTTAGGTAAAAAAAAATAGAAACACTCAGAAAGCACTAGCTGATAATTATGGATGTTTTCACAACTTGTGAGAAGACATTCTTTTTTTTGAAAAAGGAGGGTCACCCCTGGCTTCTGCATCAGAATGATGCATGCAGCCAAGACTTGTGAGAAGTCATAGGGTGTGGAGAAACATATCTCAAATAATGCTTTAGTAGAACTATTTTCACTACTGTTATGAAAAAAATGGAAATGTGATATTGCAGGACCATAAATGGAAGTTTGTTTTCTGGTGACCAGTATAAGTGGAAGTTGATATGATTTACACTGTACCGGAGTAAAGGCTCCAGTTTATATATATTATGCACTTACCAGATTTATGTATAGGAAGAGGAAGAAGGTGACCACAAGGTCGGCATGACATGCAAGTACGTCTCTATGCTCCACAAGGCTAGAAGAATGGACAAGGACCAAGGCAAATGCCTGCAACATAGTAGATGGAAAGCAAACACTGATATAGATTATAATGCAAGAAAAGGGCGAGGTGGGAAAAAAGCAAAGAAATATATTAATTTGTGTTACCTTGGATCAGCCTAATTGATTTTTGGGATGGTTCCCGCTAACCCCCTGCACTGCTGTTTTAGCTCCTCATTGTTGCAGAGCCAGACATCTAACTGTTGCAGTAATTCGGGGAGGCCATCCTCGGGCAGCGACCGGACGCACGGACATGAGCGGACCTCTAATCGTCTGAGGCTGGTCAGCTTGTGCAGCCCTGCAGGGAGGCTCTGAAGCTTGTCGAACATCGAAAACTCGAGCTCCTGGAGGGATGCGAGGAGGTGAAGGGCGCCCTCTTGCTCCTTGGTGAAGCACTTCATCTTTTGGTTTCCATAGAGATGCAGGCGGGTGAGGGAGGAAGACAGGAAGCTACAGATGGGCACAACAAGGAGTCCCATGGCCTCATCCGTACAAAGCTCCTGCAGTTTTGATGAATTTGGGGTGGAAACAAGCAGCTCATGCTCTTCTCCTCCTCCATCCTGCAGCACCTGCCTGGGATTGGGATCCCATCCAACAAAGAATCTAGGGCTGCCATAGATGAGTAATTCTCTGAGCTGTCCCCCGACGGCAAGGAGAGGTCCCAGGCCCTTGCAGCTTTGATCCTCTCCACAGTTCTCCAATACTAATCGGGTGAGAGAGGTGAGGTTTGAGAGCGGCTCCAGTGTCCCCATACCTTCCACACCGGAAATAATAAGGTATTGCAGAGAGGGCGGGAAAATGAAGCAGCAAGGGGAGGAAAACGAGCCAGTGGATAGCATCAGCTGCTCAAGACCTGTCAGGTTATTGAATGCTAACACCTGATCTAACATCTGTAGATCACCCTTTCCAACAATCTCCAATCCTGCTCTGTAGGATGATTTTGAGTACTCAAACTTCTCTAGTAGTTTTACGCTTCGTATTTTTACAGAATGGAGAGTTTCAGTCCAAGGGATATGAGCCACTAACAAGAATTCCGGACAGTTCTCTATCTGAAGCTCTTGCAATTTGGGAAACCAATCAATGCTCCAATCTTGATCAACAATGTGGTTTGAAAATGGCAACTCCAAGAGTTTAGGGCAGTCTCTAATAATCAGTACTTGCAAAAGAGGAAACACATGATGAGCATCCTGTGATGGTACCCATTTCTCAAAGTTTGCCAGTCCAACAAGTTCAAGCCTTCTTAGCCCACAGAAGGTTTGCTCTATAACAAACTCCTTTGTTGCAGCAATATGCTTCAATATTAATGTACGAAGATCCCACATCTTCCCAAAAGAAGGGAGACATTGCCAAGAAACACCGATGAGATGAAGAGATTGAAGACCTTCAACCGTGAGCTTATCACCTAGCCATGTTGGACAGGAAGGGCCTCCATGCCCTCTAATAGACAACTCTTGAAGATATCTATGTGGTTGAAGGCTCTCAAGAACCACCTCTTCCACATCAGGCTTGCTATTAGACCGCTCAGTATCCCAATCTAAGGTTAACCTCTCCAAGTAATTTTTTTCAATCAATTTTGCTTTGGTTGCTTCTTCTTTCGTGTGTATATTCTCAAGGTTATACATGCCAAGTTCCCTTAGTTCCGTCAAATGCTCAAGTTGCTTTGGTTCAAATCCTTCACTTTCTTTATTGACTTTAAATACCTTCAACTCTTCTAAGAGTGTAAGTTTCCCCACATTATAAATATGAGAATGAAGCTCATCACTTGGGGTATAAAAATGACGCAATTTTGCAAGGTTGCTCAAGTCTTTTGGCACATCGCAACAGCCATGCCACCATCCAAGATCTAGAATCCTTAAATGATAAAATTTGGAAATGGCAAGTGGTATCTCCCTCATATACTTTGTCCCCAAACATAGGTACCGTAGGTGGACAAGTGCTGAATTGTTAGGTAATATGAACTCCACAGAAGACGACATGTCAACCAAACGGATAAAGCGAAGGGCATTAGCTTCCTTAAACAAATCATTCAAAATGTGGGAAAAGCTTTCGTCCATTTCTCCAAATAACATCAAAGTATGCAATTCTCTAACCTTCAATCTTGTCTTCAGCTTTCTCAATTGGCTCTTAAAGTTTTCATCACACATTGTATGATCATCATCAATGATTATAGACAAGTGACGAATAGATGGCTTAATTTCTACTGACCCCACATTAGACTGATGTACAGTAAGACATTCATGAGACCCAACCTTTAGTGCTAAATCATGTAGCGGGTCATGCATTACATAACGCACACGACCATTAGTTTCCTCTTCTTTGAAAAATCCATGTGTGACCAGGTCATTTAAATTCATTAAACCTACACCTTCCAATGTTTGATTCTGCACACCAGGTTGTAAAATATCTAGTCCTATCCACAAATTGATTAGCTCAGTGGTACTATACTCATGATCTTCCGGAAATAGTGCAGAATAGATGAAACATTGTTGTTGATGGAAAGAAAGATAGTCATAGCTAAGCTTCAGGGCAGGCATAATGTCATTGGCACCGGTTTGTCTCTCCCATTCTTTACTTTCTAAAACCCTTCTCCAATGACGCAAATTAAGGCACTTTCTCAGTAATGTACCAACAGTTTTTGCAGCAAGAGGGGAGCCCTTTAGTTTTTCCATTATCTTATCTCCGGTATCGAGCAAAAAATTATGATCACTTCTAAAGGGCTCATCACCAAAGATAAATCTAAGGAATAACTTCCTAAATTGTTCGGATTCTAATCCCTCCAACTCTATATAATCAGTTGTTTTAACCATCTTTGCTATTATTGGAAACCGAGTTGTGAGTAGGATCATGCTACCTTTTTCTTGTGATGTTTTGAGTGGCAGCAATAACCTTTTCCAATCATCCTCGTCACTAAACTCCCATATATCATCCAGTACAAGCAAAAACCTTTTAGATCTTAATCTCTGCTCAATCAGCTCTTCCACCCTGCCATATTTTTCCCCTTCAACACGAGGGATATATGTTTCGATCTCTTCCAAAAGTTTATTCAAATTGAATTTGAGTGACACGCACACCCAAATAACAACTTGAAAATGATTTCTAACCTGTTGGTTTCTATATATGTGTTGTATCAGAGTTGTCTTCCCTATCCCCCCTGGACCGACAATCGGAAGTACAGTTAGATCCTTGCTATGGTATCTACCCTTGGTCATATCATGTATGATGCCATTCATGATATGGACCCTCCCATACAGTTTTGGCTCTATGCTCTGACCGGTGGTGATGGGACGACTCTTGGCAATATCTGGGACAATCGTACGGCCACAACTCTGCAGAACCTTGGCAACCTCCGTACGCACAGGCTGCAATTGCTCTATGACACGCTTCATTCTTTCAGAGACATCAACCCTATTAAACCCCAGCATTGGTGCTGCTCTCCGTGGCGCGCCAGAGTGAGTTGGCTGGCCAGAATGATCATCACGAACACGCGGCAAATATGAGCAAGGGAGGAGTTTACCGAGCTTGAGCATGCACCCGCCGTCCTCATCAACCTGATTGGTGTTTGGCGTCGAGGAGGAATCGCCGCGAGACCTCTGCCTACCACGTGGCCAAGTGCAACAGCTGGCCTGTTGTTGTCTGGCATCTTCCACTTCTCCGGGTTCATTGGGACAACAGGCAGCAGACGAGCACGCAGATAAACCAAGCACAGCTTTGGCGGTGTGACGAGCGTTGAGGGCAAGGTCATGGAGGCATCCCTTGGCATGCTGGTCGGCGGCGTCGTACGTGTCGTGGAGCTCGTCGTGGATGCGGAAGTAGTCCAGCTCGTCCAGCAAGTCCTCAGCGGAGTGCGCCGAGTGCCGCAGCTTCCCCAGCAGCTCCTCCAAGGCCGGGCCGTCGATCTGCTTGCGGCTGGCGGCTTCGAGGGTGGCCTGCACGAGCAGCAGCTCCGTCCTCAGGGCCTCGATGTTGAGACCCAGGCGCTTGCTGGCATCCCAAGCCTCCAGCAAGCCATCGGCTACAGGGGCCAGCGCCTTGCCCACCACCCACCGCGCCGCGCTGAGGGCCACGAGCATCGGTCCTCTCGTCACCGGCGGCCGTCTCCCCGCCCACCGCCGCACGTCGTGGAGACGGTCGCTGGTGAGGTGAGGTGAGGGATGTAGCCTGCCTGCCTGAGAATTGTGTTGCTCAGCTCAGGGTAAGAGGGTGGAGCTGTGCTGCTTGGCAGGAGGGAAGATGATTACAGACAGGAGATATGTACTGTATCTTTGTTCAGTTTGGAGTCTCCGCCAAACCGTCCCAAAACAGATGAAATAAATAAATTAGGGTGTAGCCAATGTAGTTGTTGCGTGTGGCATTCACTTATCCGTTGGTCTAATCATTTTGCCGGCCTGATGTCTGCTCTTCTGGCCCTCATGCGCCACTAGGCAGTCAAGTAATAACAATGCTCGTTCTGATTATTGCATTCATGCATCCATTTCATGGTACTAATTGCCAACTAAACCAGGAGCTAGCTAACCATGACAATGACAAACCAAGGTGAGATCAGCATGTGCGTACCCACTCTTTACTTGCCGGCCTTAGGCTGCTTATATAGTTTTTAAAAAGAAGCGGTAGGTATGTGGCTAGCAACCCCAAATGGACAAGTGAAGCTGACCCCCAAGTCAGGCACCTAGGGATGCAAGAGGACGGCGTCCACGTGTCTGCGAACAGAAAAATTAAACTAACATGGTTACTAAAGTAGCAAACCCAAACATTATTGTAAAACTAACATGGTTACTAAAGTAGCAAACATTAGTGTAACATTTGCTTGGTGGACAATCGCGGCCAAGGGGACGCCGTCCGCTTGCATCCCTACAGGTACAGGCAACCGTCCAGTTGAGAATTTAAAAGAAACCGGACAGGTTAGTTTACTGTCTAATCACTGCCGGCAAAGCATCCCATTGAGCAACACTACAGAAACAGTGAAGAAATCGCTGCCAGTAAAGCATCCCCTGAACTGACACTGAAAAATGCTGGACTTGTTGATGGATCAGCTACACTGATATGCATATACGCAAACTCAACCTGGCAGCTAGCCCAAGAAAAGGAAGTCACAGGACCCCATATACCACATACTCCCTCCGATTCCTAAATATAAGTCTTTGTAGAGATTTCACTATGGACAACATACGGATGTATCTAGATGCATTTTAGAGTATAGATTCACTCATTTTGCTCCGTACGTGGTTCACAGTGTAATCTCTCCAAAGACTTATATTTAGGAACGGAGGGAGTAAAAAACTAAGCATTAACTACGTCTTCTAACCACTGTTGCTTCGAATGCAGCACGCCCACAGCACCTAGCTTGTCCGGCAACAAATTAGAACACATGCACCAAACGGCCATTCGAGGAATAGAAAGAAACTCACAGTTGGGCATATGCACCACTCCAGGAAGGTTTTTCGTGAGGATCATCAACTTATCAAGTTGCATACGCTCGCACCCTCACGCTAGCCACAAACCTCAGTTTGTCCATCCTATCAGCAGAGTAAAATTTGCCGACTCAACAAAAAAAAAAGAGTAATATTGTTTCACAGGACAACTATTTGTGGTTTATTTAATAGCCAACGGCAGGAACTAACAGCAAATAGTACCATTCACGTGTACACCCAACCAGAAAACTTTGCGCCATTCAGAAACAGCATGCTACCGTGACCAAGTCAAGGTCACGGTGCATGCCACTCAATTGTATCACACTGATATGCTCCAAACACTTCTGACCACAATACCCCAGAGGCAAAGACTGATGTGCCAGTACAACATATAGCCACTGTTTCTTTGCAAATGTACAACTTGAATGAACCAGGAGACTTGTTTCCGTGGGCTTTCTCTAGTTCGAATCGTCTTGGGTACGCGTAATTCTGACGCCTGCCTGCCAAAGCAGACGGATGCTACTCCTTGAACCCGAAATCGTCAAATATCCCCTGAAAGTGGAAGATAGAACTTGTCAGTCCTTTCGGATTGCACTTTGAGCCTTGCAGGAGTAGCTCAAATAAAACGTATATCCCAAAATCATCAGATATGCCTGTGCGCATCTTTCCCTTTTATATAGACCGGTTGGGTGCTGAAAGAATCAAAAGCTAACCTCGGCGTCGTTTATCCCATATGCAACACAATAGTGTTCCTGAAAACAGAAAATATAGTGCACGGAAGATCAGAAGAGCGCATAAATTAGTACGATATTTGTATGGGAAATGCGATCCCTCAACTGATAGGCAGTTGTTTGCACGTAATTACCTGCATCATATGCCACTCTTCAAACTCATCAAACAGCTCTAGCCGCTCAATCCTGCAACCATACAGTTCCGTGAGTTGTGGCCGCAACAAAACCAAATAAGTGCAGAGTCACATAAACCGGAACTTAACCCCCTTTTGTCAGTATCATATTTTAAACACTATGGACAGATAAAATTCATTTTTCAGAGACTATCGGAAACGTTACCTACGCCTTTCTCCGGCGTCAATGAAATCATTGTATATTTTCAGCATATCCCGTGCAACAGCTCTCTGAAAAATCAATCGTAAGATCCCCATAAAGACTAGCAATATTAAAGATTTAGTGTTAATCAAATGTACACCTTCCATCCATGATCAAGAAAAAGTTTCTCCTTATGACTTAATGTTGGTGTAGCATTTATGCCAAGGAGCGGGCATCCTCTACTCTGCATTAGTACAACAATAGAAAGAGTTAAATTGTGCATCAGTGCCACAGATGAAGTGGCAGATACCTCAGTGATCAATATACATTTGCACAGCAGAGAAAAGAACAGGTGCTACCCAACAGCAAGAGCACCAGCTATTTTCATTCATACGAGTAAGATGTACTCGGTCAATTGAGATACTAAAACAAATAGATTCATATATTTGATCCCACATTCCAACATGGCAATTGACTTTAAACCGAACAGTTCCCATCATGTTGCAATTTTAGTTTGCCTTCTCACTCTTCAGTTATGGATACAGTAACACCAGATGCTGTCTCCTTTAATTGCCATACAGCTACCGGCCAGTCTTTCCATAGTTTTAAAACGATTTAGTAGCCATTACGCAGGTTGTGTTGAATGAATCACAGAAATAGTCCATGATAAGAAAAGGCCACAGCTTACATTTGTTCCAGTGAGATCCCTAAATAATCTACCTGACTACTTCCACACTCAGTTGCAGATCTCGTTGAGTGTCTACATATTAATTAACCGATATGATATTTTTTATTATAAGATACATGTTCCTCTTATTAACAAAAAGGAGGTCTCTTGATCACTGGAAACACATAACTGAACTCAAGCTATTTCTTTGTTGTCGTCAAATTAGCTGAACTTTATCATAGAAATAGAAATGGTATTCAAGCATATATTTCCTACATAAAACAATATACCAAAATTTTCAACCATTCCTCAAGACAAATGGTTCATGCACCACAGTGAAAGTGTGGAACACAGGTAAAAAGGTACCTCGAGATTCCTAATCATTTGCTCCCCAAATGCATCATCTGGATGGATCTGCATCAACGTAGGAGTCAACAGTGCCAAAAGCTAACAAATATAAGGGTGCAAAAGAGTACATCAATGAGAGAATTGTTCAACCTGCTCATATAAGAAAAAGATTGCACTGGAGAACTTTTCGGATGCCCAACTAACAATAGCATCAGTTGAAGTTGGATCTAAGTAAATTAGAACACACTCTGCAATTATAAAGGTCGGCAAGCTGATGACAACAGAAAGATTTATCAAAAGCTTGAAAAGCTGCCTTGTGATTCAAGTCAACAATGGAAATAACTCTGCAGCATAACTTCAAGCAAATCAAATTATCATTAGCAGATAAAATAGATTCTCATCCAAACTAATCCAAAAGTGAACCAAGATATGTTCACTAAATGACAATAGAAAACCCTATTTTTCAGTTGATGTGACATTAGGACTGTACGCTAATATAAACATGACATAAATTTTAGTTATAACATGTGAGCATCATGCAGGGTGGAAAATTTGATTAAGCTAACAGAGAACGTGGCCACTTTGTGCAGCATAAAGGGAACAAAATATGAAGAGAACACAGGATGCATATAACATACCTTGGGTCCATTTCAGCCATGCGAATAACTGCATCTAGCTTCGGTATATCACGAATATCAGCAGAAAATAGCTTGTAATTTGTACTCGTCACTTCGCCTTTTTCTGAAATATTTGGCCACTGTCAATTTTTGTGCAGGCACATGGAGAACGGAGAAATACCAAATTCAGTGACAAGGAATGATCACTTCAACAGTTCAGCTTACAATTGTTATAACTAAGACTGATACATTTTCCTTTTAAGTTCTAACAAAGGGAATTTTTCTTGCAGACAGAATGGAAGATGGAAGTATAACAGAAACTTTCTACTACAATAACCAACAGGCCATGCTTCCTACCATAAATCTAACTCGCTATAAGCCAACATACATCATGTTATAACCAACGGGACTGACTAATTTGAAATAAACCTCGGTAAATAAGCTCTGGATAAATAAACCAAAAAATTCAAAGCTGTCAAATTTGGTATTGACTACAAAATAAAACAAAAATCAGTCTTGCTTGTTGTTAACAACATTATATTTCTGCAAAATATACATCAACCAAGATAACATGCGGATAAGATATGCATAAAAAGGAATTGTAGTGGCATGAGTGGACAAGTTTAGAACACGTTGACGTTTGGTTCAAGATTAATGCGCCACAGCTAAGCCCAAGCAGTGTGTAGACCGTGACAAACAAAATTGAAGCCACATGTATGGAAAAGGTTGGTAAATGATTGTGTCGGTGACATATGAACCATATAGAAACTAAGAGTAGCCAGCCTCAACCATGACCAGAACCAAACAGATGATGCATAAATTGTGGCAAATTGAATGCTCTTAGATGCACATAGGGCTAGGCAGGCAGTAGAAAAAAATAGAGTAATGAGAGAACTACCTATTGAAATAGAAGCATCAGGTCCTAATTTCTCCTTCATGTCATTATAGTGGTTGATGATGGCAGCCTTTTTGCTGGTTACCTGC